CTAAAGAGTTCTGCAGCCTCACGGCTGGTCCAAAAGGTACAGAGCTGATTTTCAGTGAGCAAATCTCCTTCCATAAACCAAAAACACTGCTGACTCAAATGTGCGCAGGCCTGCATTTTTTTCTACCAATTTATTTCAGTTTTAACAGCCGAAAGCAAATTTCCTTTCTACCACCCAAATGGCAACCGAGATTTCACCTAGCTTTTAATACATCATTTTTATTCTCCGAGCCAAATTTTGTCCAATGTAAAGGATCTGTGGATTTGCCACAGGAGACCTGTGGGCAGGTGGGGGTTTTTTTGTTTTTGTTTTTTTGCTTTTTTGCCTGGAAGGTGCTTCTGAGGAGGTCACATTGAGTACCCACTCTTCTCCGTACATCCCTCCGCATCTCATTTCTCACAGAGACTGCTGGAGTGGGTACAAATAGCTTTTTAAAGTTAGGATGACACAAATGTCAGGCTGCTCCCACTCTCATTAATTGGAGCATCTCTTCCTCCTCTAATTTATTCTGACTGATAACTTGCTTAGGCAAGTTCAGCATGTCCTAAAAGCAACTATTTCCTCTGACTTTTGGAACAGTGCACTTGGATTCCTGGCCCACTACGGGGCCGCGCAGGGCCATCCAGGGACCGACCGTACGATCTTCATTAAGAGCTGCGACAGAGAAGCAGGGAGAGTCACATCACTGTGGGTCAGGTTCAAGATGACCACAGAAAAGGCAACTGTGAGTTTCCCACAGTTCAAGAACACCCAGACACACAGGAAGTGGTCCTTCCTAAGGGCTCACCCTTTCTAAGCCTGGACAATAAGGAATGTTCACGGATGGGTCAAAGTAAGAACCAACGGGATAGCCCATTGGGGCAGTGTGGGAGCCTGAACCCCGGCTCTGCATGCCTCTCCCCCTCAGACTACCTCCCTCCCTCACTTCCTCTCCCACTGTGGGGCTCAGCATCCAGGGAGCCCAAGAAAGGAAAAGTTCCCAACCCCAGGGATGCCTGACATTCCTATAGTCAGGACACTAGGCCCTTTGCAAGGTGGAGATGGGGAAGGCAAGACAGAGAATCCCTGCTACCTCAGCCAAGTCCGGGGCTCAGGTAACAGGTGCAGCGTCCGAGGAGGGGGGGCCCCACCCAAGGGAAAGACCCTGGACGTCTGACAGGCAGGCCAAGTCCGGGGCTCAGGTAACAGGTGCAGCGTCCGAGGAGGGGGGCCCCACCCAAGGGAAAGACCCTGGACGTCTGACAGGCAGGCACAAATGGGCCCTGGTACCAGGCAACCAGGGGCCAGGAATGCCCATGCCCCCTTCTCCTCTGTCCTCCACCCCGGGATGATGGAGAGGTTGCCAGGTGGGGGCCGCACCTAGATTTGGGGCTGGCCCACCACCCAGGTTGACTGTCTCCAACAGGCCAGCTAATCTCCACTTCTCCCTTTGTTGAGACTCTGGGAGATGGGGTTTCCATCCAGGGCTGCCACAGAGGGTTTTGAGAACAACTCCCCCCACGCTCGCTCACACACACACACACACACACACACACACACACACACACACACACGGATCAGAGGTCCTGGCCCAGCCCAACGGCAGCCCTCACCCTCTCACTCGGGAGAAGAGCAGAGAGACCAGCTACGTGGTAATATTCCGCCTCCAGAAGTATCTGACAAAGCAGGGCTGTTCTTCACAGTAAAATGAGAAAGCCAAACTGTCCCCAAGAATCTAGTCGAGGATGACATCCGACAGAGGCCCTCAGAGTTTAACCATGAACCAGAAATGAGAACTTCTGGTTCCCTCCACCAGACCACAACACGGACACCAAGCGCCCATTCTTCTCCACATTGTCCTAAAGCAACTGTGGTTCTGAAACCCAGCGTCTGGTTACGGGACCCACAGATGAGCCAGCTGCAGCCAACCCCCCGCCTGGATGTCCAGGAACCTGAGGACAGAGACGCCAGACGATCTCATGGGACCTGGGCCAACACTTGGCCATCCTCAGGGTGGCTGCAATGGAACAGACCGCGTGATCAGAAATGGGAGTTGGGAAGCAGAAGCACTGGGTCCAGATTCCCCAGGGCAGCCCTGCTCTCTTATAATCCTGGAGATCCCTTACGTGCACAAGCAGATATGGTTCTCTGTGTATACATTTGGAAAACTCTTTATATAAACAGGTTCACAAATCAGAGGAATTAATCCTCTGTAGACCAATAGTCTGATTCGGGGCTTGGAAATTATGGTCCCAATAAATACACGCCAGGATATACTTTATATTTTTAATGCAAATATTTACATTCCAAACAAAGGCGCATGGAACTTAAAGACAGGCTATTTATACCAGCTATAAGAAACACTAACAGCCCCCACATTTCTTCCCTGAGTAGATGGCTCCTGTTTATATTTCTGAAACACCAACCAAATTTCCATAACATTTCTCCCCAAGACTCTCAAGACACACACAAAAAAACCTGTTTAATGGCCCAAAAACCTAATGCCAGGAAATCCAAGTTTATTACGTTAGGCTCTTGACTCCTTCAAAAATTTAGTGGCAAGCGTTAACTCCTGTACCGGGCTAACAAATTGGGGGGATTCTTTTATGTCTTCTGGGTGCACACCCAGGGGCCCACGTAAAGTTCCTAACAGTCCAGGAAAAACGGGCTTTTGGAAGAATCACTTTTAACTGATGCATGAGTTCAATAAATGGCAGTCTCTCCCAACTCTGTGTGGACCTAGCTAGGAGCAGGCCTCCCAGACGCCCTCCTCAACCTTGAGAGGCTCCCCGGGCTAGGGCAGCCAGACCGCACCCAGGAAACTAGTGGGATGGGTTCAAGGCTGAGCTCAGCCGAGCAGAAGGCGGAAGCTCAGAGGAGGAAGTTACGTTTGGATGGGGGACGAAAGTCACACAGGGGAGACGAGGTGGACATGGGATGCGTTACTGGCAAAGGTTTCCTGAAGGTGATGGGGGCCGTGGGGTCCCGGGGGGCGGGGGGCCGAGGGGAGGCAGACAAGGGTCTCCTGGCCAGGCTCTTGGTCAGCCTGCCCCTCCACTCCATGTGAACTGCCTTCCAGTAAGGAGGTAGCCTTGGAGTCCACCGCTAACCACCTCACTGTTGCCATCACTCCCACGTGCTGCAGAAAACAACACAGAGCTGACAGGCCTTGCTGCCTAACCTCAATGCCCCCCCTGTCCTCACGGGCCCCATGTGTCAACCCCCATCAAGGGCCAGGCCCTGGGCTCAGCACTTACTATTCACCGGCAGCAAGGGGCTCTTCCTGCCCACTCCTGATCTTTCCTTCCACGTGGAGTGCACTCTGCCTGTGTGTCTACACCTGGCGGTGTCCAAACTGTCCCAGAAGGTGTGGAAGGAGGACCTGGACATGAGGAGCCCAGTCGCGCCTTTTCACACCCAGAGGAGGCCTTCCACCCTGCTAGCTGCCCGTGGAGGAGGAAAGCGGCACCCTTCCCACTCTGCCTGTGACCGGGGGGCGCGGGGCGCCGTTGGCCCGACTGCCCAGTGCTCTCCAGTTCAGGACTATGACGCCCCCTTGCCCGCCAGTCCAGCCACCTTCCCCGACGTCTGCTTCAGTCAGAGACAAACGCCCCACATCTTTAACTCCACCCATCTTCCTCCTCCCCTTTCTCTCTCCAGAGGTTTCAGAACTCCTGCAACGTGCCACCAACTTGGGGATTCTTTTATGCCAGGAAGCGGAGCTCAACTTGGGGAGACCCCTTGAGCCCGAAGTTGTACGACTTCTAATACTCAAAACACAATACGAGGTAGAAATTATTAACCCCCGTTTACCGAGGGGCAAACTGAGGCACAAGGCGGTTAAGCCACTTGCCCGGGGCACGGTAATGGAACAAAGAAACAGAGGAGGGACTCCAGCCCTGGTCAGTCTGGTGCCACGGCTCCCCCACCACCTGTGCTGTCCCTCCAAAGGTCTCCAAGGGATTCAACACCCAGGCTAAAAGCACGTCTGCCTGGAGGCCCCAAACTCCTGGCTCACTGCAAATATGAAGGTGCCGGCTGAACGTGGCACGAGGGGCAGAGAGAGCTACCCGGCCCCTTTTGGCAAGGGAAGGACACAATAATCCACCTTCCCAGACCTGCCAGAGTCTGGAATGCTTGGAACCTTCCAAGCTCGTAGCAAAGGTGCCACAGGCCCAGGCCCCTGGGACAGGTCCCTACAAGGGCATGGCAGACAGGACAGAACTTCCGCTGAGACCCAGGGCTGCCCTGGGAGGGGCCAAACCACCACCCCTCAGGGCCCTGCCTCCCGCACCCAGACCAACACTGACATTTTTGCCCCGGGGAGCAAATGGATCGGTAGGAGCATATTCCATTTCAAGAGAAAATGTGAAGCAACCAGGTTCCAGCACACTGCAGGAAAAAATAACTGTGCCCGGTCTGCATCTAATTATTTGCCCATGTTGGGGTATTTTCCAGGCACCTGGGTGACTAGGCTGCCTGCTTCAATATTTTCATCACAAACACAATTCTGGAAAGCGTCCAAGTTTCCATTATAATGACACCCTCTGCTTCTGAGGATCTGCCAACCTCACTTTCTTCTGAGACCTGAAAGGCCTGGACCAGGACAGGTTCTAGAAATGTAATATAGGTGTCAAGGAGAGAGAGCCTGCCCCAGCAAGGGGGCCCCTGCAAGCCTGCTCAGGACTCCTTTAAGCTTAGAGTGAGGCTCAAGATGTAACATTCAAAAGCAAGCTACCCCAGCACGTTTCCGGCGAGACCTGCCCGATCTGCCCCCTGCTTAATTGTGACAAGTGGAAACACAGCTGAACTGATCCAAAGCCTGCCCACAGAGTGAGGTGGAAGGGTCAGAAAGCGGCTGTTTATCTCTCCTCGCACACATGAAGAAACAGCCCCGGGAGGTGAAGCAACCCGTCGAAGAAAACCCACATAGGATCTAGGTGTCCTGGGGCTCCTGGCCTTATGAGGTGTCAAAGAAGCCCTCTGAGGTCGAATTTGCTAGAGATCATGCCCCGCCCCCCAGAAACAGACCCATCTCCCATCTTCATCCAAAGCTGTCCATGCAATTTCAGGGAGTCCAGACACATCCTCTGTCCCTGGTTATGAGCTCTAGAGCTCAAGAATACCCCAAGAGCCAATGTTTCTTGAGTGCCTACTGGGTGCCAGGCACTGCTCCAAGCACCTGGCAGGTGTCAACGCACATACAGGATAGCAGGCGTCAGGCCAGGGCATGGAGTCCCCCCCGGACCACTCCGAGCGCAGAGCCGCTAACCGGGTCCTGCCACGCTCTCTGGGTGCTGCGTGCTGCCTCTCAGCCCCACGCACCTGGCACATGGCCCAATCCTGGGGGGTGTGCTGCGCATCGCGGCCACGGATGGAAGGGACGCCGTTCGAGGTTCCGCGCATCCCCTTTGAAACCGGCCAAGACCGAGAACCTGCTGTCCGTGGCCACCTCCCCCTAACTTAACCACTTGCTGATTCACACCCGCCTTTCCCTTCTGGGGAAGACACAGTTTTCTTCCCCACCCCCTCTCCTTTCTCTCCTGCCTCCGCTGTCCTTTCTTCATCCTCCCTCCTGTACATCTGGACGGCTGAAAACTTGGTCTGTGTGATCTCAAACAGCCTCCCCGCCCTCTAACTGAGACAAAGGGGGATACCTGCCTGACCTGCCTGGCACAGGGCCAGGTGGGAACCAGTAGGGACCCAACAAATGACCGCTGTCGTGACCAAATGTCTCCCTCCCCAATCCCCATAGGTTAAAAAAAAAAAAAAAATCCGCATTGGGCCAAATCAACACAAAACCTTTACTCTTCTTCCCAGCTCTCTGGATGGGATACACTAACTAGGTAACTGCCCCCTTTATGCTTTGTTTCGTGCTGTGAAAACACAGGTCATCTTCTCCCCGGGCGTCTCAGGAAGGAAATCAGACCTTAGCACTTGAGAACAATAAAGAAATACATTGTGTGTGTCAAAACATTCCGTCTCTCAAATACCTGGTCGGCTAAGTAACACAATCTCCCGATTCGCAGGACAGGAACAAAATCACCCATGGAAGTAAGTGAGTATCACTCCGAGCCTCCCAGCACACAGAGCGGAAGGGAAGACAAGTTGCATTATTCTCAACAATGACTGAAAGCATCACTTCTAAATGACACGCTGCTAAAGAGGTGCCCGCCGGTTGGCTGCTCACGAAAATGACACTCCCGCGCCAACTACTACTTTTAAACATAATTTCTGCTTTTAGAATTTAAGAAAATTCCTATCTCTGACACATGGTTGCAAATGGCATCTTTGCAATCCTGGACCTATGAAGGTCCCGGCAAGGGGCTGGGGTCCAAACAAGTGGACAGGAAAGGGGAGAGCTGCCCACCACCGGGAGTGTGCGACCTGAACCGACTTTCCACTTTCCAGCTGTGTGACCTTGGGCAAGTCAGGCAACTGCTCTGAGCCTCAATGTCCACATCTATAAAAGAAGACTCCTCCCCAACAACCCAACCCCTCCAGCACTATTCTTGCCATACTGTCCTTCCGAGCTCGAGGTTTATTTGAAAAGCTGGTACAGGCATTTCTCTCTGCTCCCCTCCTTCGAGGGCTGGGACTAGGCCTGTCTTACCACTGTACCAACCCCAGATGCTCCACCATGGGATCTATTTGGTCAATGAAATTATATGAAAAGTTTGAGCACAGAGTCTCTTTCCACGCGATGGGAATTCATCAAGTAGCTACCCAATGAGCGCACGACCCACGAGCATGTGAAGGAGCCTGGTACGTGGCCACAGGCACGTGGGCACCCACCAATTCTTAGTCCCTGAGCCCCTGGGGGTGTGATCCACATGTCCTATCATGTGCCCCATCTCCCTGACCGTGGGACACTCCTCCCATTAAACAGACACAGGGCCAGATGTCAAGCCTCAAGCCTCCTGGCGCTGCACCCACCCCAACCTTTTACTCCACCTCTAGAATTTGAGCCCACACTTGAATATCCACGCTTGAGAATTCTCTTGAAAATTAACAAGACCTGCCTGCAAGTCTGTTTTTCTCCAACTGGCTGAGGCTGAGTCAAAGTTGCCCCTTATAGGTGGGGCATGGGTTCACCTAGTCAGGGTAGCTCCAGCATCTCCCTCCCCTCTCTCTCTCCCTAGGCTTGCAAGGGCGATTTCCGACTGGGCCTTAGATGGCCTTGGACAACCACAGTCTAATCACAACCCAGTACTAATCTAAAGCTTCTGACAGTGCAGGTGCAAAGGGCCTGAGGTTCCCGTGGCCCAACTGGTTTATCTGGACTTTCTTTCATGCTCTTCTCCAAACGCCAGATAAGCACAATCCACTTCCCAACCTCCCCTGCAAATGTTGCCCCTTCCAGATGCAGAGATTAATCTTCTCTCTTTCTGGCATTGGAAAACCAAATGCCTCTCCTCTCCTGGCCAGGGCCAGCAGCGACAGAGGAGAGAAAGGTACAGAAGGCAGTCCACAGAGACGCCACGGTGACAGTGCTGGGGTCCGCGGCCAAGGCCGCAGTTCAGGCGTCACAAGCTCTAGTCAGCAAAGAAAAGCAAGGCCTAGGTGTAACCCACTCTGGACAGACCTGACCCCCTCCCACACCCTCCCCCCACCCCCCATATCCTGGGTGAATTAATGCTGCTTGCCTCAGCCACAAGCTAGCTCACTGCAGTCATGCAATGATCCCAAGAGAAAAGACAGACATTGTTGAATTTCCTTCCCAGAGCCCTAGAGACGGTTCCCCTGGGGAGCTAGACCTTGAAGGGATGTCTAGACCTGCAGCTCCACTTCTGGATCGAATTGTACACTGAGAGGGAGACCATGGCAAGCGGCCCCACCTTGCTGGCTCACGCTCCCCATCCAGGAAGAAGCAAGAAGAACAGTTTCCTGCCAATCTTCCAGGAGTACTGTAGAGAAAAACTTATCTGATAAAAACTACCTAATTAAAAGATATTTTTATTCACATGCTATTTTAAGCAAAATCATGTATGACTTGTACACATTTAGGTACCAATTAAAACATCCTGATTCAACATGCAGTTTGTAAAATTAATAAGTACCCTCTTCTGTAAGGGAGGGTTCCTGATTCTGCCAGGGGTGGGCAGGGAAGCTCGGAGGGAGAGCCGTGCGGGAAGGTCCTAGAGGAACTTCCGGCAAATCTCCAGACCTCGGTTTCCTCCTGGGCCCCGCAGGGGGTGCAGATGCCCTCCAGGTGGCTTTCTGCTCCGTCGCTGGGCGGCTGCCCTCCCAGCAACCGCGGCTGATAAAGAGGGGCTGGGGGCCCTACGAAGGAGCCTAGAACCAGAGCCCCCTGCTCAATTTCACTGAACGGTGTGCCAAATCCCTTCACGGGGCGTCCTGCGGCTTCCTGAGAATACAACTTCATTCCCCAAACTCCGTGCCATTAACTCACCCAGCGTAGGCGGGGAACGGGAAAATGCCCCCCCCCAGGCGCCCTGGGGCTAGCCTCAGCCCCAGGCTTGCCGCCTCCTTCTCGAACCTCCCTACGCGAGGCGCAGACGTCCAGCCGCCAGCAGCCGGCAACCGAGCCCCAGCCTTCAGTGTCTCCGCCGGCCTCTCCAGCCGCTAGGGCCGAACCAGGGCGCGGGGCGGGCAGGCAACGTGGGCACCAGGGCCGCGACGGGGCGGCCAAGCAGCCGCACCCAGGACCCAGGCGCCTCGGAATCCTAAACACACACGCACACACGCGCGCGCACGCCGGCCAATCCGTTCGCCCGGAGGAGTCGGAAGGCGCTTTCACAGCTCTTCATTCATTCCCCAAAGGCGAGGTTCCCTTCACCCGGGCGCCTCCATCCCGCCAGCCCCGGCGGCTCCAAGAGGGCCAACTGCGCCACGCGTCCTCTCCACCCGCACACACACCCCGACACCCTCGCGCTCCAGCACGATCGCCAGCGTCGCCCCCGTACGGGGGCCGCTGCCTCCCCGGCTCCCCACAGCTTCGCCGCCCCGCAGCCCCTGCTCCCCGCCGTCGCCGCGCCGTTCAGACCTGCCGCGCTCCGCTCGCCGCGCCCAGCCAGCCGGGGACGCCACCGCCGAGGAGCGCCGGCAACTCCCGAGTCCCGCCGCCTCCCGAGCCACGGCCGGCAGCCGGGAGGGAGCAGGGGGCGGAGGGCCGAGAGGAAGGAGGAGGGGGCGGGGAGCAAAAGTTCAGGCCGCTCCGGGCCCGGCCTCGCCCCCGTCTCCTCCCACGCCCGCCCCCGCGGTGTCCTCTCCCGGAACCGGGTCCCACAGGCGTCGGTGCCTGCCCCCCCCCCCGCCCCCCGCCTCCTCCACCCAAAGCGGCCGCGGGACCGGAGCGGGAGGTCGGGAGGTGGCTCCCAGCCGGAGTCGGAGAGAGAGAGAGAGAGAGACAGATGCATGCCCGATTACCTGCCCGGGGCTGCGCCTAGAAACTTCCCCGAAGTGCGCGGGGGAGCAAAGCATCTGGCTGGGGGAATTCCCGCCCCCCCCCCCGAAACCCCCAAGGCGCGCTCACACGGTGAAAGCACCGGTGTGTCTGTCCGTCCGTCCTCCGCCTGCAGCTTCCAGAGCGGGGCGGCGCGGGGGCGCCCCGATTCCGACTCCTGGGGCCGTTCTTCTGGGCAGCCCGCCCGTGCGTACCCCGCGGCGTGCGCCCCCCGCCGGCCTCCGGCTGTCCGCAGCGCCACCACCCCTTCTCCTGGTCCCCTGTCCCCGAGCTCCCGCTGCATTCTCTCGAGCCAGGGAGGGAGCATGCGAGCCCCGGCGCCGCCGGCGGGCAGCCCTTCCCGCGGGGTCCCCGGCGCGTGGGGCGCCCGGAGGTGGCCGGGACCGGTGGCGAGGGGCCGCTCCTGCTGGTGTCCGCGGGGGCCTCGGGGAGGCTGGGCCGAGGGACGCGGAGCTCAAACCTGCCTCGGCTCGGCGCGCTCGCAAGTTCATTGTCTGCCTGGGCCGCCGCCGCCGCCGCCGCCACAGCGCCGGGAGCGCCGCGGGGAGTGAGGGGGCGCGCAGCCTCCGCCGGCCCGGACTCCCTACGCCCAGCCCCGCCGCTGCCCGCGCTGCCGGGCCGGAACGCGGAGGGGCGCCGCCGCTCCTCGCCGCCCCCACCCCCGCGCCTGGCACCCAACTTGTACCTGAGAAGCCCGAGTCCAACCCCGAAGCCTCTGCGGCTCCGGCTCCGCGGGAGCGCGCCCAGCCCCGCGCCTCAAGCCCCGCATCCAGGACGCGTCAACCTGACTCCCCGAGCGCAGGAAGGAAAAGTTTGGGAGTGACGTGCAGATGGCGAATGAAACCTCCGAAGAGAA